AGGAAGAGCAGCAGAACGTAGGGGAAAAATTACCGGAAAAAGTACCGGAGAAATTAAGAGCGAGGAATAAAAAATTAAGGCCCGTAATTAATCTGAGTATGATATTATTTGTGTATTAAGGAGATAGAGCGACGCAGATCATTCATAGAACAACGCTTCAAGCCTCAATCACTGTAGGGAAAGATCAATCTCAGATCAGTTTTGGATCTATGCAGCAGACTGAGTGTTTCCTTTGTAAACCTGAGTGTAATCTGCCGTGAAACACATAATTAAATACTGCATGTTTTACCATACGTATCTGTATTGAATCTTATATGGAACATGTAAAAGTATCTATCAGCGATCCGTCCTGTATCTAACAACTTTTACTGTAGGCATTCAATGATAATGTTATAACTATTATTTTAACTCTTAGATGCCTCGTCGTTGTCCGTCTCGTTATCTGGGTACCAGCGTACGCTGCCATCATATTTTCATAGACTCTTCTTTTCCTGAACACTCCTTCCTCAAGAAATGGGTATTCCATCGGCGCATTTATAATACGCTTCAGTCTTGCAATAATAATGTTAGGCCTTAGCTAGTGAAACTGCTAGGGCGTGGATATATCTAATTATGGGCTACCATTTAACGCTAGGCGTATCTGTTTCCTTTGAAAGTGGGGAATGTAATGCCATCGAATGAGAGCGACGTGTAGGTATACAGATTGATGATTTATTGTAGGTAAGATAGGTTGACTTACAATGGTTAGAAGGTTTGAAAGGGTTGATGTTGCACTTCACTCAGTTCTTTCTGTGGCAATCCATCGCCTGTTGTTACACTCGCGATAGATTTAATAGAACGCTCACCGCGATGACGTCCCTGGCCCTCGAGTGGGAAGGCTTGGTCACAAGGATCCGAAGACACGTAAAATACTACCAGCGGAGGAACAAGCAAGAGTCGATGATTTAGACGGTGACTCCTAGGGGAGTTCCGTCTGTTGCCAAAATTCACGAAAGACTGCCTGTTGGTTCCAAATACTGTAGATGCATTAGCTCCAATTTTAGGGATAATGCACCGCAATATCGATGATCTTGCAGAAAGAGTCTGCTTCATTCCTCGCGCTGGCATGTAGTGTAAGCGCGTGGCCTGCTATTCAACGTTCCAGGAATTACATGAGGCAATCGAAAAGTTCGATGTGCCGAAAAGAATTTACCGATTGCATTTACTTGAATAGATCCGCTTTGGGCTATAACACCCCTCTTGTTAGATTGAAGCTCGGTGATGTAATCTCCGCGGTTCAACAATGATATTGGATCGACGATAAGACCGAAAAAGCGTGTGAAAAATTATAGAATTTGGCTAAGTTGCTGGCGAGGAGCTTTCACTTTATTTCTTACGTAACAAGTGTCACCACGTGCATAGGGTCATATGGGGGTTGTGATGGGATGGCAGGTGCAATTCGGCTGGGTTCTATGGCAAGCTGTAGGGGTTGTCGGATGTCCATTGGGAAACTGATGTTATCTTGCCTTGATCTGCTGACGGGTTCTCGGCGTGTTCTGCGGCGTATGTAGCAGCTCAGGAGCAGTCCCGGTATACTGCCCCGAAGTGCGTATATCGCCAGTCCTGTTATTGTTGCCAGTGATATGCAAATGCCTCCATATGCCCAGGTTCCTGTGCGGTGATACCATTTTGTCGCCTTTTGTTCCTTGGCTAATTGATCCAGATGAGTTTCGATGGCGTCCAAGCTTACGTCCGCCTGCTGTAATTGTCCCCCTATAGAGTGTTGCCGTGCCGCGAGGACCAGGGTGTCGAGCTCCTTGCCGTATGTCTCGGCTATCGGGACATACAGATTGATGATTTATTGTAGGTAAGATAGGTTGACTTACAATGGTTAGAAGGTTTGAAAGGGTTGATGTTGCACTTCACTCAGTTCTTTCTGTGGCAATCCACTCGGCTATCGGGACTGACAGCTCGCTGATGTTGAGAATGGTGGGTGGCTGGTGAACTCGGTCAATTGACGATGGAATCATACTGGATGACAGGAGTGTGATGGTTGAGGAGTAGCCTGTGCATCCTGGATTCCGCTGGAGGACTTCGGTCCCTTCAAGGGTGACCGTGGCTGCAGTGCCGTCGCGACATTGAATGCGCAGACTGTCAGACATTTCGAATAAGTAGAGCCATCCATAAGTATTCTCCAGAAACGTCCATTGGGCCTGATGATTGTGGGCTATTCTGATGTCACACCTGCGTAGGGTATCGCTGTTCGGTGAGACGAGCAGGCGTGCTTCGCAAGAATCGTCCTCATGGACGTCTCGCAAGGCCATGTGCAATGGGCATGCGTAGTTGTTTGGAAGGTGGTAACACTTCTTCAAGTACGGTTCATCAAAAGTGAAGTACTTCCCTTGCTCGTTAGACCAGGTCATATACGGTTGTTTAGGCTGGATGTAGGCCGTGCCCTTGGTGGTTCCGTTGAAGTTCTGGGGCCGAAGGCATGGGTAGAGCCTATATAATTGGAGAGGTTTTGCTTCCAGTGACGGCAATGTGATACTCACCAGGAGATGACCCTCCTGATACTTGGTAGTGATGCGACTGATAGTTGAGAGATCTGTCGCTCGCAGGTCAGTCATCGTAACAGGAAACTCAAGAGACGTCGTAGATTCCCTTACATGGCGAGCTGCGGTGGTAAGCTGCTCGACGGAGAGTAAGTCAGGGTGCAGGATTCCGAGTTGCGCATAGCGAATGGCGTCCGTGAAACGTTGCAAGGTGTCGATATAAGCATCAGCAGCGTCGATCATGTTGTTCGATAGACTAATAAGATGCATAGTATAGTTGAGGCGATGAATGTCTTGGAGCTCCCAACGTAAGGTGTTTTGGATATCGATAGTAGCGTTGGCGATCTGTTGAATGTACCTTTCGAGAGCGTGTACGTGTGAGCCTATCGCATTTATCTCGCCTCGAATGATATAGGTGGAGTTCTTCACGAGATGCGCAAATTCTTGGCCCTTTTTTTCAAGTTCGGTGATTTCGTGGCCGTATTGCTCCGCATCGTCTTCCGTGAGAGTCCCGAATAGTGCGTGCGAGATGGAGCCGATGAATCCCAGGGGCGCTCCGCGAGTGGCCTGTTGTCTGGGGCCGTTGTCTTCCTTCTCGGGTGATACCAGGAGTCGGATTTGTGTTTTCAAATTTTGAATCCTCTCCTCACGGCGATCAAGCCTGGTTTTGGATAGGAAGCTGATGCACTGAGTGGCGCTAAGGTGATTCATACACTCGTACATGATGCTCCCTATCTGTTGGGTGCCCTAGGGCTGCTGTGATAGATGCATCTGGAGGTCGAGATGGGTGATGATTTTCCAGTTGGTGGTGTTTACGCATATGTCCGGAAGGCGCTCATAAAAGTTGCCAGGATGGTCCGTGGTTGTGGCGCCAATAGTTGCCAGGATTAACGTCAGAGTCGTCCCAATTGATATTAACATTTTGCCACGTGCCATATCTGTAACAAGAAACGACCTCGTCGTTGCGATTACTAATTGGCCAATTTTAATTTATTAGGATGTTTAGTTTCGAGCCACCCAGCCTTATTTGCATTCGTCACATTTCCTTTTTCCGTGATATCGACGACCTCGTAGTGCCCATGATATTGAGGGCCAAATTTTCCCTTTCGCGGTTACGGGAGGACATAGACGTCGTCTCCAATTTTAAAATTTACAGGGTGGTTTAAGTTACAAGTATATACTTAAATCTAAAAGTTACAAAAATAAAACATAAAATAGAGCTAACAATAATATTATGTACAAGTCGAGCGAAATAAAAATAAATAGATTACGCACTTACGTATTGATTAGGATACGCTAACAGTTCGTGGTACATACAAAATTCACTTTACGCTAGTACAAAGACACGCTTAAACATGTAGTCGTACAAAAGTTGTCGGAAACTTGGACTCATGATGGATTTACGTATGTTGTGGCCAATACTATTCCATAGTCGTGCTGCTTCGATGCAGAACGAGAGCTCAAAGGTCACTTTCGAGGCGTGCCGAACAACGAGATCGTACTCCGAGCGTCTTTTAGAGCCGTATCTGTCAGAAGGACGAAATTGCAATTTATCTACGAGATAGCGTGGTTCTTGGGATCAAAGCAGAGACGCAAGAAAGCGTAAAACCACAAAGTTTCGATGCTCGTAGTATGGCAGAATGTTATTCGCTTTATAGTCGGGCGTAATGTGCTCGTGTTTCTTGGTGCCAGTCACAAACCTTAACGCGGCGTTTTTACATCGAGAAAGCCGTGAGATGTGTTCGCGGGAAAGGTTGAGAAATAGGCCTGCACAGTAATCGAGGTGAGGAAACACCAGGGATTTGGTCAAGGTCATTTTGGTACAGCGTGGCAGAAAATCATTGCATTTGCGTAGTCGAGCTAATGCACCGAAGCATTTTTTCGATGTAGGCAAGGTTTGTTCTCGCCAGTTAAGGGTGCTGTCCAAATGGACGCCAAGTATTTTTATAGAGTCGCGGACTTCGATAATCTCGCCGTCGATACTGGGTGCAGGTGGATTGCAGTTACGTATTTTAGTAATATACCCGAGCGAGCCAAGCCACATGCCAAGAGTTTTCCCCTTGTTGAAGAGGAGACCGTTGAGTACCCCCCATTCGGCTAGTCTTTGGAGATCCTCGTTTACGCAATTGACAATCCTGAGCAGGTCTTTTAGATATTTGAATTTGCTTTTAAATCAAATTGTGAAGTCGTCGGCATATAGATGATACTGACAGTATTTCAAGACTGCAGGCGCATCATTGATAAAAAGCGAGAAAAATAATGGCCCAGTCAAACTACCTTGGGGCACGCCGGTATTTCTAGACAGTGGCTCAGAAGTGTCACCGGTGGAAGAGACCACAACTTGGGAACGATTGGCTAAAAAGGATAGAACCCACTGCCATGCGGCATCGGAGAAGCCAAGAACTTTGAGTTTCTGTATGAGCAACGAAATATTTACCAAGTCAAAGGCACGAGAAAAATCAACGGCAACTAGAGTAGAGTGACTTCATCATTTTCGACGCCGAGTCGAATATCATCAACGATATTTATTAAAGCAGTATGACCACTGTGATGCTTGCGAAAACCTGATTGATGGGGATCAAGCAAGCCGTTACGTAGTATGTAACTCGTCATTTGTTTGAGGGCAACTGCCTCCAGAAGTTTAGCTGATGCACAGAGAATGCTGATGGGTCTTACGTGGTCTAATTCGGTTGGATGAGAGCGTTTAGGAATCGGGCGAACCAGAGCTTTTTTCCACGCTGAGGGAAAGACGCCGGATTGCAACGAGCAATCAAAGATGTTAAGAAGCACGGGCAAAATAATATGTAGGCAATCTTTAATAAATTAACTGGTATACCGTCTGACCCTATAGCTTTGGAGTGTGCTGAAGAAGTTGCCTCGAGTAAATCGAGTATTTGGACGTGTTGGAAATAGAAGCGTTTATCCGGTGCAATCCGAACCGTAGAACGAGAATCCAACAACGAGTTAGCACCGTGATCTCCTACGAAATGCTTATTAAGAACGTTGATGTCAGCGGGTAGGGAGGACATGTCTGAGTCACGAGAGCAAATTCCTATGTCATTAATAACTTTCCACATATCCGACGAGCATTTAGTGTTGAGAAGTTTGTCTTTGTAGTAATGCGAGATAGCGTTTCGGGTAGCCGTTTTAACGCCATTGCGAAGCTGTTTATATTTAACGTGATCATCGTTTTTCCGAGAGCGTCTATACCGATTCCAAGCTTTATTGCGCTCGTTGACAAGATGTTTGAGCTGTGGTGTTTTCCAAGGTGTCGCTCGCACCTTGGGAGTATACGAGCGGAAGGGAGCATGAACGTCGTAGAGCTTACGTATGCTATTTGTGAAAAACTCAACTTTCTCATCAACGTGGTGGATGCTAGTTAGGTGTCCCCAATCGATCGAGTTAAGATCATTGATGAAGCTATTTTTATCGAAATTGCGAAAATCGCGCCGCGTAATGGGAGCAGGCTGGCTGGTGGAGATATTATACGCCAGTTCGGCAAAAAGTACATCGTGCTCAGAGATGCTGGGATACAAAGCCTGTCTAAAGGAGGAAACTTTCTCAACGTCACTTACGCATATATAATCGATTTTATTGTGCACGTTGCCTCTGTGAAAAGTGGGCGCAAAAGGCAAAGGTTCGAGGTTACATACAAAGAGTGATTCACTCAACATTCTGCGAGGAGTGGTGGTAGAATCCCAGTTTATGTTGAGATCACCGAAAAGTAGCGTGAGATTCTGACAAGAGCTGCAATTGAAAAGGGCCTCTTCGACCTTGCTCCAGTAGCCGCATTTTGGAGGGTTATAAACAACTCCGCAAAGTATCTTGAAGTTATCGGAGGAGATTTCAAGAAACAAGAATTCTGGACGTAAAATATAAGCTTTGGGCTGTTCCGATTTAGCCATTACGCGATAACGCAAAGAAAAATGTACATAAAATGCGACGCCATCAGCACCTTTGTTGTCTCTATCGTTTCTTACGAGTTTGTAATACGGTATTTCAATGAGACGCGTGGTCTTCCCCGGTTTAAGCCACGATTCGCTGATGGCCATTATACGGATCCTATTCGATGTGAGGATTTTTTCGACATCCAAGCGCTTCGAGCGACTGCGCGTTAATATGGCAGATATTCAATGGTGTAGAGGTTTTACGGTTAATGGTGTAGAGAGTGGGTGCATAGACGATGATGTCGACCAGATAAACGAAGAGTTCGATACCATGGAGTCCGGAAAGTGCAATGTTCATGTGTCGCTAGAAAACGGGCGGCCCGTTGCGAAGTCCAAACGGGAGAACGGTGAATTCGTAGTGCCCTTCCGGTGTCGAGAACGCGGTCTTAGGGCGGTCTTTAGGATCCATCTCAATTTGATGAAACCCGCTGGCAAGATCAAAGATGCTGAAATATTTCGCTCCCCCCAGCTGGTCTAGGATGTCAGTGATATTGGGAAGAGGATATGCGTCTGGAATAGTTTTTTCGTTCAGCGCTCTGTAGTCGATAACCACACGCCATTTGCGATTTCCCTTGGCATCCGGTTTCTTCGGAAGAATCCATAACGGAGAGTTATAAGGTGAAGCGCGCGGTTGGATTTTTCCGGCCTTCAGGAGTTTGTCCATCTGTCGGTTAATCTCCTCCTTGTGAACAACGGGGTACCGATATTGTCGGGTGTTAATTGGGACGTCGTCGACGGTAGGAATCGTTCAACGCATCAAATTTGAGCGGCCCAATTTGTCGCCTGGTAGGTTAAAGCGATCAGGGAACGCAGTCACTAGTGTGCGCACGTTCTTGTTCCTCGGTATTGAGGTGGTCAGTGCTCAGTACAGCCAGCACGGCGGAAACCCGATCTTTTCCGGCGATAGTCGTTTCGTCGACTGAATCGGAGTCAGAAATTTCTTCAGGTGGGCCACGATACTCAAAAGGAATTAGTTGTTGAGGAGGGATGGAGATTTCAACGTCTTGCGATTCCAACATGATTAGTAACAGCAGAGATAACCTTCTTTGATTTTGGAATTCCTTACGTTTATTGATATTGCCTGGCGTGTCCGAGCGGGAACTCGCACCGTACAATCCGAGCGCACGTGATCAACTGCTGGCGCAGCAGTATCAGGTGTCGACACGGTCATTCCTTTCTCGGCGCCGGTACTGTATCCTCCAGAGATAAAATAACTCCTGTCACAAATGAATGGAATGGGACGCGTGGGTCGACTTGCGATAAGTAGAGCATTGTGGTTGTAGGAAATTTCGGCCTTTTCTTGTTCTAGATATTCCTCTCCCAGAAGACCCACACCAGGCATAGGAAGGGTGCCCTGGAAGACATAGAACTTCACTGGTTGTGAGAACAACTCGATTGTCGCAGTCCCTATTGCTTGCAATTGTACTGTTGACTCATTGTCCGAAATTCCGTGCACTCGTACGCGCTCATCTTCATTAATCATGACGTTTCCGCGAAGAGCGTTAACCTCGATCATGTTCACTACCGCCCCGGAATCGGTTAACAGCTTGGTTTTTGCGGCCCTTAAGTCCGGTGATTCCGCTTCGATGACTGCCTTAGGCTGTCTGGCGATTTGCTGCAGATTGACAGTTAGGACTGAAATTTCGTTGCAGGGGTTAGACGCGGTTTCAAAGAGTTGGTCGCGCACGCGTCGTTCGAGCGACGAGCTTCCTCGTTTAAAGAAGGGTTCCTGTCGTTGCTCGTCTTGGTAGGAGGGGTAGGGTCCCGGTGCCCTGCGGCGGGCGCCAGGAGGCTGTTGGCGGAGGGGCGGCTAAGGGTTGGCTGGGTCTCGGCGAGAGTCGATGTCCTTCCGGCTCGTCCGCTCCAATGCTATCGGTGCCTGGAGTTTGGGCATGTAAGGGATGCATGCAGGGGCACACGGGACAGGTCCGGGTGTTGCTATGTGTGTGGCCAGGAGGGACACCGGGCAAACCAATGCTCGGCTGAGGCCTTCTGCGCAGTGTGTGCAGACAGGGGGCGTCCCGCTACGCACAGGTTAGGGGTAAAGGGGTGCACCGCCTCTAGGAAAGGGGAAACAAATAGGGGGGCGGCCGAGCGCCCCACAGTTGCTGCTGAACACCCACCTAGTGAGGAAGGGGCGACGGCACGGGGGGTGGGGGTGTAGTCCCTATGGAGGCCATTGCCTGCTGATGGCCCCGGGGTTGATACTGTTGCAGGCTAACTTAAATCATGCCCGCCATGCTCTGGACAAATAGGAATGCGGGATTGGGTGTCGCTGCCGAACCCCATGCGGTTCCAGCCCACTCGGACTGGGTGGGGAGCAGCGGGGGGACGGTGGCGATAGTTCAAAGGAAGGGTGCACCCCCCCTAACAATTATTCATAGGGGGGGAGGATCACGTGATGGTGGACTGGGGGGCGGTCCCGGTGGTGGGGCTTTATGCTCCTCCAAGCCGCCCCCTGGAGCGATTTGAAGAGTTGCTGGACCAAGTGGGGGTGGTGGTATCGCGCCGCTCTCATAGTCCAGGTATCATTGCAGGTGATTTCAACGCGGCCTCCCCTCGTTGGGGAGCCGCTCGTGAGAATGCAAGGGGTGTGGCGGTCCTTGACTGGGCGGCCGCCCTGGGCCTGGTGCTCCTTAACCGGGGGGTGGGGGGGGTTAGCACCTTCGTGGGGTGACGGGGCGAGTTCGTGGTGGAACTCACCTGGGCCAGCCCCGCCGCCACTTGCAGGATTGAGGGGTAGGAGGTGGCCGAGGGGGTTGAAACTCTCTCGGACCACCGCTATATCACCATGAGGTTGGTCCCCCCCCTCCGGTGGGGGGCATCGTCCCCCTGAACTCCCTGCGGGGTGCGGGGGGTGGTGTCTGGGGCGGCTGGATGAGGACCGCCTCCGGGCGGCGCTGCTTGCGGGTGGCTGGGGCGCTGCTCCGACGGGGCCGATGCGGACACGGAGAAAGAGGCGGGGTGGCTGGTCCGGTGCGTGGCTCTTGCGTGTAGTGTCGCTATGCCCCGGGCTGCCCCCCCCGCCAGGGTGCTGTATACTAATGGTCCCGGGAGCTAGCTGTGATGAGGGGGGAATGCTCTCGGGCCCGCCGGCGTTTTCTCAGGTCCCGTCGGAGAGCCATGAGAGATTTGGAGGGGGAGAGGGTACTATATGACGAGTATAGGACCCGGGTCATGGATCTTCAGGCGGCGATCCGGGAGGCTAAGGCCCGGGCATGGGAGGACCTTTTGTCCTCCCTAGACAGGGACCCATGGGGGCGCCCTTATAAGATGATAACCGGGAAGTTGCGGCGGGCGCCCCCGGCGGTGGACACCCTGGAACCCTGGGCTTTGGAGAAGGTTGTTGGTGCCCTCTTCCCCTCGTCGGGATGGGACGTTGGAGCGGTGGGAGATGGGGATGGGGCGACACACCCGGACCCCCCCCCCCCTTTGGGGGACCTGGAATGGAGGGATGCCGTCAAAAGGTTCAATGCCCGCCGGGTGGCGCCGGGCCCTGACGGCATCCCTGGGAGAATTTGGGCAATCGCCCACGGGGTGATTGATGACCGGATGAGGCGGCTGATTAATAGCTGCCTCAGTAAGGAAGCCTTCCCCGTGGGTGGAGGGAGGATCGAATGGTCCTCCTCTATAAGGACGGCAGTCCGACAGGGATTCCCTCCTCGTATCGTCCTCTTTGCGTGCTCGACGAGGCGGGCAAGCTGCTGGAGAGGGTAATTGCGGCGCGCCTCGTCGGGAACCTGGAGCTGGTGGGACCGAATCTCTCTGCGGAGCAATACGGTTTCCGTGGAGGCCGGTCGACGCTGGACGCTGTCCAGCGTGTCCGGGACCTCACGTGGGAGGTGGCCTCCCGGGGGGGCGGGGGGGCAGTGGCTGTCAGCCTTGACATAACACTTCAACACCCTCCCCTGGGCGGCCATTAGGGGGGCCATGGAGTACCATGCGGTGCTCCCTTATATTAGGAGGTTGATCGGGTACTACCTGCAGGGGAGGATGATAGTATACCGGGATAGGGAGGGGGTTTCCCACTCGAGGAGCGTCGTGTGCGGGGTCCCGCAAGGGTCGGTGCTTGGGCCGACTCTGTGGGCGCTCGCGTACGACGCGGTGTTGCGTGTTGGTCTGCCAGCCGGCGTGGGACTGGTGTGCTACGCGGATGAGACACTGGTCCTCGCCGGCGAAACCTCGTGGGAGAGGGCCATTCGGCTGGTTGAGGTTGGGGTGGCGCGTGTCGTTGCGGCGATCCGCGTCCTTGGGTTGCGGGTTGCTCCGCGGAAGACGGAGGCCATGTGGGTCTACGATCGGAAGCGGAGTGGCCCACCTCCTGGGGGGACGCGGATCAGGATCGGGGAGGCTCAGGTGGAGATCGGGGAAACCATGAGGTACCTTGATCTCACCCTGGACAGCCACTGGAGTTTCAGGGCTCACTTTGAGGGACTGGGGCCCCGGGTGGAGGGGGCGGCGGTGGTATTAGCGCGGCTGCTCCCCAATCTCGGAGGACCCAGGGAGGAGGTGCGCCGTCTCTATGTGGAGGTCGTGTGGTCCATGATTTTGTATCGATCTCCCATATGGGCGGGAGAACTCACGGCTGGTCGCCGTAGCTGGGGGAAGGTCGAGAGTGTTCAGAGGCGACTGGCTGTGAGGATAGTGAGAGGGTACCGCACGATCTCTGCAAGGGCGGCGTTGGTGCTGGTGAGGGTGATCCCCTTCGACCTCCAGGCAAAGATGGAGACGCAAGTGTATTGGAGAATACGTGAGGGCTGTGGAGGTGCGGGGGTGACCCCTTGCCACAGCAGGAAATAAGAGCCCTTAGGCTCTAGGCCCGGCAGGACGCTCTGGCCGAGTGGAAAAGAAAGCTGGAGGAAAGTACCGGCCATCGAACTGTCGGGGCGATCCTGGCCAACTGGGATGGTTGGTTGGGACGCGGCTGGGGAAGGCTATCCTTCCGCCTCACGCAGGTGCTCACCGGGCATGGGTGCTTCGGTGAGTACCTGCACCGAATTAGGAGGGAGGCGGCGGCACGGTGCCACCATTGTGGAGCCGACCGGGACACCGAAAACACGCCCTTGAGGCGTGCCCTGCCTTCAGCAGGGAGCGTGGTGTCCTGG